TGGAGCCGCAGCGCAGCCCGCCTTCGCCGCCGCTGCCGCTGACTTGCCGCTGTCACATAGTGGAAAACGTGACCTCGCGTGCTGCGCCCGCCCCCGGCGCCCTCCATTGGTCGCGATGAATCCTCATTTGCATACCAGGGAGGCTGGCCTGCGTGTGTCGCACACCCATTGGCCGCGGTGCCCGTCGCTCTCTTTACATAAGACGCACATGGAACTCCATGTTCACCGCGTCGGTTCCTCAATGAAGACGCGGCGCTCTCTTGCCCCCCTCCACGTCCTCCCGAGTGGTCCCTTCCACTTCCGGCCTCGGTGTCTTCCATTCAAGACGGCTCGCATCCCCCAGCTTGGGGAGCGCGGAGTGGCGCGTACCACCGCGGGACGGGGGGCGGAAACAGGCTCCTCCGAACCTCGTTCCAGCCGGCCGGCCGGCGAGCCCTCGCTGAAGTCCAGGCCCCGGGAGGCTGCCACCTTCAGCGACAGGCCAGAGGCGCGTCCCCAGCGGCCGCGGGAAACTCCCTGAGGACATCTTTCATTCACGCATTCGCATTCATTGACTCTCATTCATTCGCCGCTAGGCGCTGAGCTCCGGTGAGGACCAACACCAGGTGGTCCTGCAAGAGCTCCCGGAGCACGCCCACCCGGGCCATCTAGGTCCCAGATCTTCCAGAACTGCCAACTACCAAGAGGCCTTTATTAGTGTTTAGACCATGTATCTCAATTTTTGGTTCAGGAAATAGGATCATTTTTACTATGGGAGGTACGAATGAAATGATGTCCCTGCACCCCCACATCATTATGGACCGTCCTGTGTAAAGGGAATTTAGTCAAATACTGAATTGGGTATTGTGAATCATAAATTAACCAGAGCAGCAATTATCCCAGAGGCCCCATGATGGAGGCAGCACTTGAAGAGTGAATGAGAAAGGAAGGCACAAGCCACAGAGACACAGAGCGCTGGGCCCTGGACACCTTGGCTGAGGCCATTTGTTCTTTCAGTAAACACTGTTTGGAGCATGTTAAGCCCCCAGCCTTCTGTCTAAAGCAGTGGTTCTCAACCTTCCTAATGCAGTTCCCTTTAATAAAGTTCCTCATGTTGTGGTGACCCCCAATTTCATTGTTACAAATTGAACATAATTAAAAGCATAGTGATTAATCACAAAACCAATATGTAATTTTCTATGTGTTTTCCGATGATCTTAGGCGACCCCTGTGAAAGGGTCGTTCGACCCCCCAAAGGGGTCGCGACCCACAGGTTGAGAACCACTGGTCTAAAGTGTCAGGATAGTGACCCAGTAGAGAGCAGAGGCCTGCTTGTAGGACCTGACACAGAATGCAGGCTCCAAGGCAGCAGGCTCTCAAATGCAGAGTCTCATGGGAGAGGCAAGGCTGTCAGGGCTCTGAAGGGCTGAAGGGGAGCTAGCTGTCCAAGAAGCTGGGGCCTGCAGCATCTCCCTCCACGTGCCTGTTCTCCTTGGCCTCTCCTGGGGACCGGGGATGGAAGGGAAGGAAGAATTATGATCTGATAGCCTGAAGGCAAACCAAGCTGCCAGTTCCTGAAGCCAAACCCACACTCAGGAATTCTTACCACTTCTTTCCCTCTCCTTGATAAGGTGTGTATGCAACTTGGTCAGACATAGATGCAAACTAGGGCAAACACCAAGTTCATTGGGACAAGCCTTCCCATGTAGGCCCTGGGAGGTCTGCTGTGTGGCCCACACTTCACCGTGAGACTGTCCCCTCCTCCTGTTTCTCTGACATTGAAACCTGGACAGACTCCCTGCTCCACTCCCTAACACACACACACACACACACACACACACACGCACACACACACACACCCAAGCAAATCCAGGCCCAGCTGCAGTGACACACCCACCAGCCCTTTTGTCTCTTCACAATCATTGACGTCAATGGTGAGCTCCATTGTTCTGGAAACAAGTATAAACAGACAGCTCATCCACACAGAGATTTTCCTGCGGCTCAGCTTTCCTGGGTCTTGCTCCATAGTCAGCCTGCAGCATAATGTCACATTTCCTCCCTAAACTTAGCCTTTTCTATTTTGATATTAAAAATATTGAAATAATTTTTTTAGAAATTAAATGTCGTGGGCTTCTAGACTCTTCAGAATTTAATCTATGCTCAGTGTTCCCACAGCTAGTTTCTTCATCTTGTTATGGGAAACTTTCATTCACTGCATGGATATTTGTTGATACCTGGGTATGGGAGGGGAGGGAGGGGAGGGAGTGGAGGTGAGGAGGGTGCAAACATGCATCTCATTGGATCCTTTGCTTGTCAGGAGTTTGCAATGTAGGAGTGATGAGGCAGGTTCAGAGGCAGTCCAAGACGGGGTGTAAGTCCCGGGAAAACAGGACAGCCCTGGGCAGAAGCCTCCACACCAGCTCCAACAGAAGAACGCTGAGGGGTGCAAACCTCCAGGACCAGGCCAAGCCCACGGGTGCTGTTCCCACTGAACAAGGTGGTGTGTGTTGGGGCATCCAGGTTGGGGGGCGGGGGGAATGAATACTTTCTTGATCAGCCTGCAATGACCTGGAAACATATTGGGATTAGCTGTCACCTCTGGCCCAGAACTGTTGGCCAGGCAAATTGCTCTTGGCCCCACGGGAGGCAGGCTGGCAAGAAGGAAGCCTGGGGGTGGGGTGGTGAGCCAGGTCCCCAGCTGCCTGAGGAATGCTGTTCTGGAAGGGGCTGGGCTCCAGTCTCAGCCTTCCCCCCTTTCTCCTAGCCAAAGGCTGCTCTGCCCCAATCCCAGGTCCATTCCCACCACCCTATTTCTTCCAATGGGTCTGGCTTAAGTTGGTCCTGCCCACCCAGGTCTGGGCCCTGCCTGCAGGACTCCTCTACACCTGCGTCTCCATGCCCTTGCCAGGCCACTCGCTGGCTCTCTGATTCATTTATGCAGTCAGCCAGCTGTTTTCTGGGCAGCTACTGTAGGACGGCATTGTGCTGGCCATTGCTTCCTCTTCTACCAATCACATGGTTTGTGGGTCAGCAAGCAAGGACGTGGTCTGGGATGGCAAAGATAGGGAGCTGGGAAGGGCCACTGTCTCTAAGGAGGGAAGGGCCAGTGTTTCTAAGGAGGTGTTAGGACACTGTCAATCTTTCTCGTCCTCTGGACCCAGAGCCCCCTTCCTGGGTCCAGGGGCTTTTGGTGATGAGAATGCCTGAGTCTAACCTCAGTCTTCTTCATGCCTGGTTCTGGTACATAGCTGCTCAACCCAACTGCTCTAGGCTGGGGACAGCGGCAGCTCCTGGCAGGGACATCCTCAGGTGGATGGGCCCACAGAGATGGGCAGCTGTGTCCAGGGGCTGCAGACACCGGTGAGACAAGGCCCACCTATCCCTCGTGGTCAGGAAGGCCCTGGATCAGACGGTACCCAGAGAGCTGATGCATCTGTCATGAGGTGGTCTATGGACCAGTGTAGAGAAGGCACATTTATTGGGTGCCAGCCACCTGCTGAGAAGGTGTTTTTACTTATTTGTTTGGTTTTTTTTTTAACTAAATGTAGATCCACGGAAGGCTGTTCTTTGTTTTGGGGAGATATGTGGGTGTTTTATTTGTTTGGTTTTTTTTTTTTTAACTAAATGTAGATCCATGGAAGGCTGTTCTTTGTTTTGGGGAGATATGTGGGTGTTATATGTGGTTATAGGTCTTCCCCAGGAGGTCATAGGTTGAAGCATCAGCAGGGAACAGCCTCCATCATTCTCCCCGACCCCTGGAGAAGACACTCTAAAGGGAACCGAGCACGTCTTTGCGGAGTGCCACTGGGCCATCTCCCATTGTCCCTTTGTGAGACATGCCGGACGTCACAGGATGATGGCACAGGCTAGGACCTCTAGTGCTGTGTCTAGTAGAGGTGGTGCGCATAGACATCCTTGTTCTGTTCCCGGTGTGAGGGGGAACGTGCTCAAAATTTCATCATGAAGTACGATGTTAGTTTCAGGTGCTCAGTTTTCTGTGTGTGTTTTTTTAAATAGCTGCCCTTTGTCATATAGAGACAGTATTTTTCTTTGATAGTTTGCCAAGAGCCTTTTTATAAAATCATTGGTACAAAGGGCTTTTAATCCATGGCAACTACTCTTTTAAAGTATTTCCCCCAATAAATCTAGTCCATATTTGCTGGTCTGCAAAGAAGTTAAACCACACAACTTTGTCTCTACTATGCTGCATTCTGTAGAGACTTGCTTACTGGTACTTCATTATTAAAAAAATGAGTTTAAAAATTGCTGCCAAGCCGGTTTGGCTCAGTGGATAGAGCATCAGCCTGCGGACTGAAGGGTCCTGGGTTTGATTCCAGTCAAGGGCACGTACCTCCATTGCCGGCTGGATCCCTGGCCCTGGCCAGGGCTCGTGTGGCTGGCAATCAATCGATGAGTCTCACATGGATGTTTCCCTCTCTCTGTCTCTCCCCCTCCCTTCCACTCTCTCTAAAAATCAATGGAGTCCGGCTGG